GCCGCTCTGGATGGTGGTTAAAATGATCATAGAAAACTTCGAGGCGCTGAAATCCTGGCTCAGCAAAACCTTGGAGCCCATGTGAGTAGCCGCGACCCTTCCTCTCTCTCCCGCTCCCTCCAAAATAAACCTTCTTTTGGAATAGACGGGGATCCTCAAGGGAGGGAAACGCTGTGCCGGAGAGGCCCGGGAGGGCATCCCGGGAGATGCCCTCCTAGCGCCCTTCTCCCCTGGACGTTTTCCGTGTGGGGCTGCGTCGTTCTCCCGCTCTCCGGGCGCCGTCCTCGGCTGGGCGGGCGGTAGGACCGTCTTTCTCGGGAGGATGCAGCTTCCCCCCCTAGCGACCGCGTTCGTCTTTCCCTTTGTAGCGCAGGGTAAGCGGGGGATAATGTGTCTGCCTGTGCAGCTCGTCGTTCCCAGCTCTCAGCCGCCGTAGAGGCCAGGTTAACAACCAAGGCCTGCCGCCTTGTCTGAGAGAGACCTCGGGTGCCATTGGGACGTTTTCCAGGATCCTGGGATCTTAACAGTAGCATTTTACATAGAATCGTCGCACGTCGTTCTTAGTTGTTTTGAATATTTGACGTTGCCTTGTTTCCCTCCCCCCGAATAAAAATTGCATCAGTAGAACGCTTGGGAGTAGGAGCCCCAGAGAATAATTTGCTTATTTGTGCATACCTGCTTGGCCTCTGAGCATAGCATTCATGTGAGCGATTGGGGCTCTTTTGCAAATAGTCCATGTCTTCCTTCTCGGAATGATATTTTAGTGGAACTGAGTTGTGAACTTGGTTTTAAAGGTTTCATGTCCTGCAAGTATGGTGTCTCTAAACGTTTTAGATCAAAGCATGCGCTTGACATGTCATTCTGAAACACCATTTTAACATGCCTGAATTAAATTGCTGGAGCTTGCTTTGAGTCAGTTGAACTAGAATTTAGAAGTTAATTCTGCTATTAACTTTTCTTCTGAGGTGTTTGGCTGCTGTCAGTTTTACTCTGATGCTATCAAATGGGGAAGGAAAAAAAGTCTGCTTTATGGCTTCCGTAGCCATTAGTTAAGTGTGTGTATGTACATGTATAGTTTGTACGAGTTATGCTGAAATAACTTGAAAAAGTTACAAAATGCTGGGATGTTTTTAGGAGAACTTCACTTGTGTTTTGAGAGGGGTGGGTGTGGTGGGTGGTGGTTTTTTTTTTTTTTTCCATAGGGCCTAATCTAAACTGCTCTGGGATAGATGAGTCTGGAACTGAGTTTCAGTGGACTTTGAATTAGACCTGCAGCAAATTATGCTGAATGCCTTTATATAAAAAATTTGACCCTTAAGACTATGATAGGATTCTTTTTTTTTTTTCCCTAATTTGAAAAAAAAATAATCTTGTACAAGTGTAGTTTTGGGAAGGTGAATTAATTTTTCTCTTAGGTCAAAAGGTAATATTAGAATAACAGAGCATATTGGTAAGGTAATATTAGAATAACAGAGCACATTGTGTTCTGTGGTAATGGATCCAGCTACTTGTTTGGTGCAGAATGCTCCCTGTTAGTCTCTGGATACTTTCTTACATGAATATTCTGTTAATAGCAATCAGTAGTTTGAGATCAGTATTTAGAGTGTCCTGGCCAAGAGGACTGGAACAGACAGTATTTAACTTTGGAAAATCTTGTTATTTCCAAAATACCTGTTGATAATTTGAAATGATAAATCATACACACTTATCTCTCAGTTGGTTAGCAGCTGGAGATTGATATGTTAACTTCAAACAGTTTACAAGGAGAATTTTTAAATTCTGTGAAATCTGAAACTGGAAGTCCACTAGTGGCCTTTACAGGAGGGCTTCAGCTGACTTTATTGAGTAAATACATTAGGTTCTTTGGGTTTTGCAGATCTGTATCCCAAAATTTGTTTATACAGTTTTTCTGCTCTTTCTTGAGTATTATGCATCAGGAGCTGAAGCTTAACTGAAGCTTAACTTAATCACCAGTGAATGTTAAAAGTTTCCTGTTCACAATATAAAAAGTATTGAAAGTTTGTCAGATACTATTTAACTAGAGGTCAGTATGATTCCTCAGTCTTTCCCCTCAAGCTCCATTCATTAGTGGTGTGTAGTGGTAACTACTTATTCTACTAAGAAACTCAGGTTGTTCCATGTTTCTGTATTTGTTTGAATATTGCAACTGTGATTTCTGCTGGTGGTGGTCAACAGTTAAAGGGTGTGAAATTGGATTTTTCAGCTTTTGTGATCAGTGCAATTTTCTGCTTCTTAGCACTAAAAGGACCAACATGTCTCTGTAAAGTTAAATGTGTTGTGTGAGCAGTTCAGATGTGATTCTCATACTGGAAAACTGTGTTGTGGGGTAGAGAACTGCTGACCTGGAGGACGTTGAGTTCTCTGAATTTTTAGCTTTGGGAGGAAACAAACCATCAGGGACTGTCAAATTCAACTGTCATTCAGTTTTGTGCAGTGTCCTATGTAACTGCATTATTTCAATAAATGTTGGAATTAGTGGAGAAGTATTGTCGTTTTCTAGCAGTCAAATACTCTTGGAGCTGCTTCTGATCTCAGCTATCTGAAATGTGTGCCTACAGCCATAGCTTCTGGCTGTATGAAAATTTTAGTGTGCAGTTACCTCTAAAGAAGTTAGTTCTAAAGAAGTAACTGCTGTTGCTGCAGTACTAGTACAATGAGGTCCTTAGTGCTGGATGGCTGGAGGTGTTACCAGAGCCTGAAAATAATTTTTGATTTGTCTTTTCCTTTTAATGAAACAAAAAAAAAAAAAGTGCCAGCTGTTTTTTATCTTGCAGCTAAAGATTTCTGAAAGAACCACGAGATAGGCAGCTGAATTTCCTAACTAGACTAAGGAAGACACTGCTGTATTAGATCATTATTGAGCTGTTGTCTCAGTAGTTTTAAGGGGAGAAGTGCATTTAAGAAGATATGTAAATAAAGTTTATACACATATATATAGATCTATATTTATGTGCTAGTTATCTAGAACTGAGTAGTTAGAACGTGCTTTATTTTCCAAGTTGTCCATTTCCAAGTAGTGAGCAGTTTTTGATCAGGATGTATAGCTTGTTCCAAAGGCCATAACATGTGTACTACTGAAACATAATGTTTCAGAACTAGAAGATAGCAATGTCCATAAAGATTTTTTCATTTTCTCATGAAGTTTTATCTTTAAACTATTTTAAAGCATTAGCAAGAGTGGTAGCTTTTTAGTGTAATGAAACAAGTGTGTCGTATGATTGTATGGACTGGACATCATTTGGTTATTGGATTGCTTTCACATGGTGAAACGTGAAACATGGTGAAACACTGTTCATAGAGAAGAATGTTTGGAGGAGAGGGATGATGGAGGATTTAAATTTTGGAATTTTTTGTTTGTGGTGGATTATTGGGGTTTTTATTTGTCTGTTTTGGACTGCTCTAATGCCTTTGGCAAAGCATTGGTGGTCCTCCATACAAACACTGCTTATCTAAGTTTGATTGTGTTGCAGTGAGGTAGAAACTGCAAATGCTACCATCCTGGACCATTTACACAGTCTGACTCTCCTTGAAGGGTGATAGTTCTGTATTAACTTTCTACAGCTCTCCAAAGAGAGCCTGCTTTTGTGGTTTTGGAAATAGCTCTTTGAGCAGCTCAGTTTGGTGTACAGAGAATTACTAAATATGCACACAGAACTGTTACAGGTACAGCTATGTGAATGTAGTACCAGTGAAAAACAAAGTGGCAAGAGCATTTTTTTGTGCTGTGGCTGCTCTGTGTTTAACTGGAACTATCTTCTATGTTCAACTCTAGTCAGCTCTGTAAAGAAGGCATTTGTCAACAGTCGTCTTCATTGCTTGCAAACAGCAGAATGCTTAGTTTCTAGTGTTACACAACGCTTCTTGTCCCTGGCATGGCTCCTGTAAAGTGTTTGAAAATAATGTTAAAGTTGGAATATAACCTTATGTCTTACCACTTCTAATTTCTGTAACAAGGTCCCCACTGAGCCATATCTGTTGCGATGGATTTCTTTTCTGCAAGTCCATTCCAGATCCTATATAAACTGTGTATATAATCCTTGCTGGAATATAAGGATCTGGCTTGGCAAAGTTCCAAGTAGGGATGTTTTTTCATTTTTTGTCTTAAATTTGTTTGAAACCTTTGAAAAAATTAGCTTTTGTACTAATGCTGCACTCGACGTTCTGCCTTGTGAGACATTGTAATGTTCTCCCTCTTGCCCTAATTCTTTACAGTGGAAAATTCTCTTGTTTTTAATTACTTTGTGTAAAATAAACTTAATTAAAAGCTTCTGCGGGCCTGCTGAATTATACTTAGAACTTGATTAAGGCTCTCATATCTAATTTTTTCACCTTTGCTGTATTTACATTTTTGTGAAGGTTTGTTCAGGTACTAAAGCAAACTTGCCAGGAAGACGGAAAAATATCTAAAACAATGTTTATACAGTATTTAGGCATATCTTAATAATTGAAAGCGTTTTTGCGTTGGTTAATTCTGTAAGTTATCATGGTGGTGTAACTACTTATGTCAGAGGGAATAAAATCCAAATTGTTTAAAGAATATTTCAAGTATATTTATTGTTGGAGTATTTTATGGCAAGTCAGTATGCTCTGGTGTTCAGTTATGCTTTCACTTGTTCTGTTTTTGTTTGCCATGCTCTTCAACCTTTCTTTGTTAAATTTCATTGTATTTTTTGGCTGTTTGGATCTTTGCTTAATTGTTAATAGGTTACTGGTTAGTTATCTTCACCTAGTTACTTAAGAAAGGTAGTGAGTAAAAAAGGTTTAACAGTTATGTAAGGAATACACTAATAAGCCAAGATACTGAAAGAATATAAATAAGTTAGAATGAAAAACTTTGGCTTTCCTTTCCACATACGTGTGACACATCATCCTACCAGTAATGCTCATCGGCCCATCAGGGTTTTCCCATGAAACTTCCTAAGAAGTTCAAAAGCAATGGATGATTCTCTTCATTTCAGGTGCTCTGTTAACATTTTACATTAAGCTATTTATAACTAAGATAAATAAAGCACAAATACATGTCATTGGTATGTCGCTCTCTTAACACTAGTGAAGGTACT